TAGGCTCTTGTTCCTGCCAACCCCATCGAAGAAAGTATGTTTCCTCCATTTTTAGGACAAGTGAGTCTATTTTACAGTTGCCACCTGTTGTGTAAGGATCAGGAAAGGGGCAAATTCTACAGCACTTGGTATGGAGCAGCATCCACATCACCTGGGCATCTGCTAGAAATGCAAATTCTAGGGCCCCATCCCAGACCTACTAAACAGGAACTCTAGGGGTAAGGCCCAGCAATCTTGTGTTTTAACAAGCCTCCAAGTGATTCTGATGTCTGCTCAAGTTTAAGAATCCTGGGGTTACAGAAAGCAAACCCTGGTGGAGCAGTGGTTAAAGTGCTTGGCTATTAAGCAAAAGGTTGGTGGCTCGAATCCACCAACCACTCCAAGGAAGATGTAGCAGTTTGCTTCTGTGAAAAGTTAAAGGTAGAAAATGAGAGCAAAGGTAACTCCAAAGGGCTTAGGAAGAAAATCTCTCAAGATGGTTTCCCAGAGAACCAGGGCAAAAGTCCACATAAAGGAACTCATTTCACGACATGAGGATACATACAAGCCAGTAGTTAGTAGGAAGAGAAGTCACAGGTCCCCACAAGTATGAGAACAACGGTTACTGGGGGTAATCAAACTATTAGGCAGTGTGACTTTAGGTACCAATTGTTTATGGGAATTCTAGTTCTAAGAGCTTGTGATTTGGAGTATTCTAAGTTCCCTGCCCTCAAAATATTTCCCTCCTATGCTAGTGGTTGATACGGCATAAAACTCAGTTTGTGTAACTCACAAACCACCATCTGAGGCAAGCATTTCTGTCCCTGGCCCAAGTGATATGGTGAGTTAACAGAAGACTCAGGTCTTCTTCCGAAGCCCAGGCAATTGCTCCAAAAAAAAAAATCTCCCTTCTCCCTTTTCGGAAAAAGAATTCCAGCCAGGACCAGACTAGATACTCAGGACCCTCAGCCAATTACTTCTTACCCCATGCAGCTTTGATAAAGGAACGCAGACGTCAGGAGTGGGAGCGTGAAGGCAGGAGACACATCGTCTCTCATTGTGAGGAACTGGTGTCACATATAGGACACATAAGCAGACCTGAGCTAAGTCTGAGACCAGATGTGAAAAGAGGTGTATTTCTTAAAAGAAAGAAAACGTTCTGAGAACTGGCAGGGCATCTCCAAAGAGGAAAGGAAAAGGCTGGAATAACAGAAACCAGAACCCCTGGGGAGCCGGAAGTGGGGAACTGGTTGGGCCGTCACAGGAGGGACCATCTGGAAAGGTATTTCCTGTGCCTGGAAGGAGACACGTGTGTGGAGACAGGAAACGTGCTTACACTCGGGCAGGAACTCCTTGGAGGAAGTAGCATGGCTGCTGTACAACAGATGCTTCACCTGTCTGGCTCAGCTGGAACTGAGGCTCTCCCTTTTTTCTATGAGAAGTCATTGTCTCAAAAGGCCACCATGGTAGAGAAGCTAAGGTAGAGCTTTGGGGCAGCCTGGTGACAGTTTTGCTTTGAGGGGTCCCGGGTTACAATATCAGATACACTGATCCCTCTCGGAGCCTCAGATTCCTCCTCTGTAAAATAGGGATTTAAGTCCCTACAAAGCCGTGAGGAACAAATAAGATCATTATAAAGTGTCTACTCAGCAAAGGCCTGGAGCTCTGGCGGCCCGATGGGTAAGGCATCTGTCTGGCTGCTAACCAGATCAGTGGTTAAAGCCACCAGCTGCTCCACAGGAGGAAGATGAGGCAATCTACTTCTGTTACTATTTACAGTCTTGGAAACAAAACAGGGTTGCTATGAGTTGGAATCGACTCGACGGCAGTGGTAGCAAAATGCCTGGCACGTGATAGTGTTCAAGAAAAGGTAACGGGCAGAGGATCTTGATCTGTTTTGACCGTTGCTATGTCACAATCAGCTGAGAAGTATGTCCCCATATCATTTGTTACTAAAAAGTACCAAAGTTTATAGTTATAACAGTCACATTGTGTATGCATGTAACTTAAACAATTTCAACCACATGCAGTCAAAAAAAGGGTGTATGTGTGAGAACTGTCCAAGGGCAGGATACCCTAGGGTGTCTCCACCAGAGTGAACACGGAGCTTGGCTGATCCTTCACTTTTCAGCCCCTTGTGCCTCTCTGACCATATGAGCCGCTGTAACTCAAAGGTTTTGCATGACATTGTGTCTTTAGACCTTAATGTGAGCCCTTCCTCAGTGCCTTATGTCCCTCAGTTGTCTTTGCACTCAAATAGAAGAGGTGGTATTGCAATGGTTGATATAGCCAAAGGAGTGCCAAGCACAAGGCTATGGATGTAAGGCTGGGAGCTGAGCTGTGAGGGGCAGCCTGCCTCAAGCCCGGCACACCATCTTCCACAGTGCAACAGCTCTGTGGAAACATCATGCCTCAAGTAGAGCAGTCTTCACTTACACACTCCCCATTTGTCTCACACGAGAGCATCGTCCTGATCTCAGACCAAGCTGAACTGAAGTTCAGGTGCTACCACTTGCTGTGTGACCTTGGGTCAGGTAACTTGGCCTCTCTGAGCCAGTTTCTTCCACCATAACATGGGAGTAACAATGCCTCACAGCCAGAGGCTGAAAATACAAAAGCAAAGCCACAATAATGCAATGTACTGGAAGTGGGGACATTCTAGGACTCTGCTGCCTAAGAATTACACACAAAGGTCTCTCAGTCTGGCCTTCAAGGTCTTTCCTGTTTCCCAGGCCTCCTTTCCAACCCTCTTATCTCATGGTTCCCCTGCATACAGCTCTACCACCATCCTCACTCACACTCTTCCTTAAGCTGTTCCTGCTTCCTAGAATGCCCTTGCCTCCAATTTCACATTAAAAACCTTCAGTTCTTTCAAAAATGAGTTCAGGGACCACCACTTTCCTGATTACCTTCTCCTGCTACAGCCAGGCACTGAATATTGAAGGTGGGCAGAGAAAGGGGCAAGCCAAGAGACCGCAAAGCTGTTTGTTGACCTGCTTTCTCTCTAGCCTCAGGTTTCAGCAGGCTGGGGTCAGATCTCAAACAACCCAGCATCCCCATCATGCCTTCTATTCAGTGGCTAGCCCTCTCTCCAGCACCTTTCTTACTTTCTTTGAGTCCTAAGGTCTGAACAGGGTTCAGTAAATGTTCATTTGAGCACCTGGGGGAAAGGCCAACTTCCCACCTACCTTCCGTGATTCATATCACGGTCAGGCCTCTTACAAACTCTGCGTTCAGGAAAGCCACTTTAACCTCAACGAGTCTCTACCCTCATCTATAAAATTAGGATAATAAAAAGATTGTTGGGGCATAAGTGAATCAATTTCAGAGCCTCTTGCACCCAGTAAGTGTGCAATAAATAGTCCCCCCAAAGTTATGAAAACTTCTTAGCCACAAACACACACCTTGAGGGAGTGAGTCACTGGGCCTGCAGGCTTGGGACCATGATTGTAGGGGACATTAAACTCAACTGGCATAACACAGTACCCAAAAACATCGTTCTACATCCCTTTTGCTGAGTAGTGACTGGGATCTTAAAAGCTTGAGAGCGGCCATCTAAGAGACACAACTATTGGGAAGAAGAGTGAAAAAAAATTAAAGATGTATAGAAACAATTAGTCCCAGGGACTAGTGGACCATGTGATCCTCAGCCTACATGACCCTGAGACCAGAAGAACTAGATGGTGCCTGGCTACCATGACAACCACTTGGAAAACAACCAAATTTGGAGATCCTGGACAGAGTGGGAGAAAAACATAGAACAAAACTCAGAATCATAAAAAGACCAGGCATACTGGTCTGACAGTAACTAGTGAAACCCCTGAGACTACGGCCCCTAGTCATTCTTTGGGCATGGAACTAGACTCTCTCGTGACTCACTTTCCAGGCCTAAGAGGTGAAGAATTACACCAAGGAGGACACTCCCTAGACCAACCAACCGTGGGAGATCAGAAAGGCAGCATTTGCATGGGGGGAAGGCTCAGAAGAAAGAATGCGTAAGAAAGAAGGACACAGGGAAAAGCTAACTGGAGAGGAAGTAGGAAGAGAGCTGTTGCATTGTGGGGAATTGCAGTCAATGTCACAAAATACGTGTATGAACTTTTGAATGGAAAATGAATTTGCTATGTAAACTTTCACCCAAATCACAAAAAGTTAAAATAAATGAATAGTCCCCCAAGGAACACTGGATCAATTCAGAGAAAAGTGAAAACAGTGAGAAAAAGAAAATATAGGAACACACACAAAAAAAAACAAGGTAGAAGATATAGAGTATAATAAATTCACCAATTAAATGACAGACTGGATTTTAAAGCAAGCTATTTACAAGATAAGGAGAGAAAATTCTCTCTTGACTTCACTTACCCCTTCTCAGTCCAACACATTGCCTGCAGCCCTCGCCATCCGCACTGCAGAGAACCCCTTCCGGACCAGTCTTCTGACTGTTCCTCAGCATGTGGCTACAATCCCCTGTTCATGCCATACATTAACAGCAGTGGATGATCTATATAATAAAGGCTCGACACCCTTTTAGGCACCAAAATTTTTATTAACCCACTTTCCCGCTCTCCTTTAAAACGTTACAAACCAAATTAACCTTTTTGACCCAGGGTTGTGATGGGAACCAGTATGTTGCAAAGTGATGGCCGACCTCTACCTGATTTTTACATTTTCTGGCCCCTCTCAACCTCTGGCTGTCACTTCTCTTACTCTCTCTTGGCTGTTCCTTCCCTTAACTAGTCAAGTCTATTCTAACCCCTGTAAAATAGGGACAAAAAGTACCAACCTCACTGTTCCAAGGTTTATGAGGATGCCCAGCACTAAGCCAGGCTCTCAGGAGCACAGAAACGGTTAACAGTTCCACCCTGCCCTTTGAGTGCTCCTCATTCATCATGGGCTGAGGACCTAAGTAACTAAGTAAGTAAGCCTGTAAACCAAGCACATAAGTGAAGTCCATGAGCCAGGTAAGGACCTAGACGTAAAGTTCATGGGTTCTGACCACTGCTGCCAACTTCCAGCCTAAAGACTGACTGCGCGAGCACTTCCAAGACCCCCAAGCCCGTGGTTCCCTGTGGGCACCTTCCTTGTACCTCCAAGATGACCAGGACTTTGGGAGGGGTTTCCCAATGCCCTGTGCCACCCCTGTAACAGTATGAGGGATGCAGCAGGGACCAAAGTCTGAGTGACCAGCCCCAGGGAGTCAACTGGGGGACGTGAGGGGACCCGACAATGACAAACCAATCTCAAAGTTAGTGCCGTTTGTTCTTGGGGAGGAGCACCAGGGCCTGGGCAGGGGTACAGTTTGGAAGGTGAAGGCAGGCCTGGCTTTCAGTAACGATAGTGATCAGGCTTGAAGGGGCCATCGGAAGGAATGCCCAGGTACTGGGCCTGCTTCCCAGTCAGCTTGGTCAGCTTCACATTCAGCTTGCCCAGGTGGGCTTCAGCCACCGCCTCATCCAGCTGGCAGAAAACACAGGAAGACCTGAGATTAGTGTCATGCTTTGGGGCCCCTCCCCCACCTCTGGGCATTGAAACAGGCACAGGCACATGTGTGTTTAACCCTATTACCTCATTCCACCCTCACACCAGGCTGGAATGCAGGTGTTGCTTTCGGCTGCCCAGCTCCCATTCCTCGAGAGGGAACCACATCACATCCTCCTCTCCAAGTGGTTCTGGTGGGACCATCAATTACATCCCTCCCCCAATCACAACTGACCCAAGCAGCTACCCAAAATGCTTCTCTGGAATTTATCTATGGAAAGAACATATTTTCCATTTGTTAAAAGAGACTACCTCTTCCCTATTCATGGATTTTGGCCCTTTGTCAAACATTAGCTATCTACAGGTGAATGGATTTACATCTGGGTTCTCGAGTCTATTCCATTTGTCTATGCGTCTGTCATTGCCCCATTACCAGACTGCTGCTGCTGCATAGTAGATGCTGAGATCAGACAGTATGAGGCCTCCTACTTTCTTCCTCAGTAGTGCTCTGCTTATCTGGGGTCTCTTTCTTTTCCGTATAAAGTTAGTGATTAGCTTTTCCGTGTCTCTAAAGAATGTTGATGGAATCTGGACCAGGACTGCATTTTATCTATAGACGGCTTCAGACAGTATTGACATTTTCAGAATGTTAAGTCTTCCCATCCACGAGCACATTATGTTCTTCCACGTATGTAGGTCTCTCTTGGTTTCTTGCAATAGTATTTTGTAGTTTTCTTTGTACAAGTCTTTTACATCCCTGATGTTTTGGTTACCTAGTGCTGCTCTAACAGAAATATGTCACAAATGGGATGGCTTTAATAAACAGATTACTCTCTTACAATTTTGGAGGCTAGAAGTCCAAGTTCAAGTGCCAGGCTCTAGGGGCTGGGTGAAAGCCCCTCAACCTTGGGCTTCAGCTCTGCTTCCTGCTCCTGGCCCACTGAAGCTGGAGGCTTTTCTTCACTCAGACAGCTGCTGTCTGCTGAGGCTGACAAGCACAAGGTTGACAAGTACAAAGGCACAGTCTCAATGTTACCAAACAACACAGCAGGCCACTAATTCAAGTCCAGAAGAAGTCCCAGGATTGGCAGAGAATGGTGGGCTGCTGAACAACGACTTGGCTACATGCAGGGTTCAAGTGTCCAAAAAGCTAGAGACGTTCCTCAAAGCTGCTTCCTATATACTGGAAGCAGACCACATCTCTGAAGCAGCTACTCAACTGCTCCAGCAGATTCCACCATGGAGTTAATTGCCAATTTCACCATGGGAAATAACGACACCCAGATGCCCAGTCACTCAACCAGGCCCAGCCAAGTTGACACACAACCTTAACTACCACACCTGGTTAAATTTATTTCTAAGTATTTCATCTTTTTGGTGGCTGTTGTAAATACTTGTTTTCCTAATTTCTTTTTCAGAGCTCACTGTTAGTATAGAGGAATCCAACTGACTTTCTTATGTTGGTCTTGTACTCAGCAACTTTGCTGAATCCTTCTATTAGTTCCAGTAATTTCCTTGTGGAATCTTTGTGATTTTCTATGTATAAGATCATATCATCTGTGAATAGCTCTAGTTTTACTTCTTCCTCACCTATTTGAATGTCCTTATTTCCTTTTCTTGCCTTATTGCTCTAGCTAGGACTTCTATTACAATGTTGACTAAGAGCAGTGATAAAGGGCATCATTGGTTTCTTCTTCCAAAAGCAAAGCTTTCAGTCTCTCTCTGTTGAGGACAACGCTGACCACTTTTTTTTTTTTTTTAGGATTTGGGTGAAGATTTACAGAGTAAATTCACTTTTCATACAGCAGTTCACATATACTTTGTCTCATGTCATTGACCAAAATTTAC